AACTCAAGTTTTCTCACTGATAAGACAAAGGGTGTGGGCAAATACCTTCCAGCTCTAACAAATGCAAAATCACATAACAGTTCTGAAAATACAAACACATTGTATGAGGACACACACTAACTTTCATGCAAAAGAAAAATACATATAAGTAAATCTAATTCATATGGCAATTAAAAAAACACTTATTTTTAATATCAGATCCATTCCTTTGTTAGTCAATGAAATATAAAAGCAGCAAAGGTTTTAAGTATGGAAAAACTATACATGCTGGTTACCCTAAAAATAGGATTATTTGGTAAAAATGTTAATTCTGACATTTCTTTTTAAACCTTCTCCACTGACAGACTAGATCTGGAATAACATTGACATAACAGAAACAAATAAGACTGTTTACAATGTCTACCGTTTAACAAAGGCTCAAGGGTTTTCACCTTCCTTGTTCACTGAACAAAGGCAGCAAGTGGAAGTGCAGTTGCCCTGGCAGCTGGCAAGTTCTCTCCCATATTCGAAGAAGTTGTGGAACAGCTGGGGAATGCAAGATGCTTTTGAACAAGCTGCTATGTGATCCAAAATAACGCCGCCTGTTCATCTTCCGCACAATGGAAGCGACAGCCCCGTGGGGGTCTGGCGCATGCCCTGCAGCCGCTTCTTTCTTCCCAGTTGGAGCAACAAGTGCTAGGAATGGAGGGAGATGCACAAAAGCAGGGACCTTGCTCCTAACCCTTTACACACTGTCGGTTGGTTATACACACAGCTCATTTTCCAGTAGGGGAGAAAGCTGCATTTCATACCCAAATATTGAACCTACATACAGGGGTTCCCAACCTATGGTGAGTTGCGTAATTATTTCATTATATATTACAATGTAATAATAATTAATAGAAATAAAGTGTCCAGCAAATGTATTGTGCTTGAATTATCCCAAAACCATCCCCCACTCCCTACTCCGTGGAAAAACTGTCTTCCATGGAAACGGTACCTAGTGTCAGAAAGGTTGGGGATGGCAGTGTAAGGACAGTGCCTCCCTGTACTCCCCCTCCATGTGCTTCTTGGAGATGATGTTCGTGGTAACTACACCATCGCCAACAAGTGGTGTTTAGTGACATTATAAGGTTTCTTTATGGAACTTTAGTCCATAACCGATTGTTTAAAAGATAAAAGCAAAACAAAATCAAGAACTGTAACATAGCAAAAAAGACCTAATATAGTATAATAAAACAGTTTCTCTATTTCTAGTTGCTTAATAGAAAACCTTCCAAGTTTTTAAATATATGAAATACCTATCCTGGTTGCTAATTGTTCAGCTGAACTGATTTATACTTCATGCTGTCACCTTTTCTAAAAGCTAGTTTAGCCATGTTCACGTCATATATAGTTTACCATATTTGAGCAAATATTTTTGAAATGGCCTGTCTCAAACTCTCCTTCCTCTTCTATGAACTTGGAGGCTCAGCTTTGAACAGATTCTGAGAAAACTTTCCAAGGAAATGGTCTGTCTTCCCAGATTGGGGCCAGCACAGCTTGTCACAGAAGCAGACATGTTTCTTTAGTGCCTACACGGCTGCTGAATGAGAAAAAAGAATACTTGCTCCCTTTTCTCTAGTTTGTTGAGTTTGGGGCTTTTTTTTTTTTTAAGTCCTATCATCTTGGCCATTAGAATACTGTCTTTAAATTTAAAGGAAAGGGAAATGACTGGAGGGAAGCCACAAAATTACACAGCAGTAAAACCAGGAGAAAAGCTCTATAGTTCTGGAATCCCTTGTAAATTCCTTGGGCAACTGGACGAAGCTTTCCATCGCTACCAACCTTCCCCCATGCCCAGCTGCTGACAAGCAGGAAGCACTCCAGGCAGTACTGACAAGAATAGTGAGTTCAAGAAAACTATCCCTGCTTCACCTTGTGGATGAGGGGAGGACGGGAAGAAAGCAGGATTCTGTTCTTAAACATCATCGTTAGTTAACATTTGTTGAACAACAGCTATGCGCTAGGGCTAGCGCTGTGTTAAGTATCTTCTATGGATTATCCAATGTAGTAATCCTCATAGCTTGAAACCAGGAGGCACTATTATTATTCCTGTTTTAAAAAAGGAAAGTGAAGCTCAGAGAGTCTGAACAATTACTCAAGGTAATAAACAGTTAGGGCAGCCTTTGAACCCAGCCATTCCGACTTTGGAAGCTGGCCTGGCTATTTCTACCTGAGACGTACTGAGTCCAACACTGAGTCCAACACATTCCAGAGTTTCAAACTCCTTTCTTTAAGGCAATATGCTTTAAGTACATTCGGGACAATACCAAGGTCCTAGACAGTAAACTTGTGCTCAATGATGCACAGAGGTATGTGGATAAAACCATATTCTTAGATTCCTAGAAGAAATGTGGGGGTTTTAACTTATCAGTCAGCAAAGTTGGCAGTTATTTCCAAGGCAGACTCACTTAATTGTAAACACACACTGAGCACAGTGCTGAAGTCACACACGGCTTCAACGGGGTGGGCACTGCAGCTCCTTGCAGCAGGAAAGCCAACAGAGCTTCACACTGGGTAGAGCTCCTGGCTCCAGGCCCACCTGCCTAATAAGACACCAGGTAAAGCAAAGGACAGCTATTTCTGACTATCTTTGGAACTGTCATATAATTCTAAAGTTTTTTGGAAGAAGCCTTAGCCTTCTTCATATACGTTAAGCTTTAAATAAGAATGGGCTGATGCACTGGCACCAGCAGAAGCCAGCAATATGTGAAAAGTCAATCAAACCCTAATGCCTAACATAATCGAAGCTGAGCCTGGGGCTACAGCGCATGCCTGGAGATCCATAAACAACTCTTCCCCAACAGCCTTTGCCAAAAACACTGGGAGGAATCAACAGCCCTCGTTGGACAGATTTTCTTGGACCTGTTGACTTCGAGCCTCAGTTTCCTCATCTGTAAAACAGAAACAACCTCCTGGGAGGAGGCTGTAAGGTTTAAAAGAGAAATAGGAGGATCCCTCCATGGTGTGTAAGATTCTCTCATACATTAGCAACTTAAAAAACCCGTTCCTACCGCTTCCTTAAAACAGAAGAAGGGGGTGGAGGCGGATAAGGCAGGATGTGAAGCCCCGAATTCCATCTATCGAGCACTGGGTGCTGGGGCGTCTCACCTGCCAGCGCCTGCCCCCCTCTGGTCCGATCCCGGAAACAACCATCCGGCGCGCAGCACAGACGCTGTCCTGACACTTCCACGACAGTACTTGTGCCTATGCTGGGTTTGCACTCAGTCACCACAGCCTCGGGGAGAGGGTGGAGGTGGGGACAGGAGCTCCTTTAATTTCCCCAGCTGGCCTGTCCCCTGCAGCAGGACTTCTGTTACGATGGTCAGACTTCGTGAGGGGGCAGTGCCCAGGCCCAAGTGCTTACCCTGCACCTGACCCAGATTGCGGCGGGACCCGAGCCTCCCCGCGCTCGCTCACAGTCAGTAGTGCAATTGCCGCCTTCGGGAGCGCCACTCAGGATGGGGGGGCTGCCGGCTGTCACCGGGGACCAGGCCACGCCCTTCGGGAGTCCGCACGCGCGCAGAAACTGCAAGGAGGGCGTGGGCAGGCGGGCTGGCAGGGCGCGCCAGGCACCGGGCTTACACTGCGGGGCCCTGCGGAGGCGCAGGCCCTGGACCCGAGGAGGGCGCTGGAGCCGCTGCCGCCCTCACCACTTGCGGCTCCGATCCCGAGAGGGAACCGGCTATGTCGCAGTTCCGAACACTCGCGCGCCCCTCCCCGGGCCGCCCGGCTCCCCGCCCTCCTCCCGCGTAACGGGCTGCAGCGCCAACTTCCCGAAAGTCCTCGCAGAGCAGCCCCGGCCCGGCCCGCTCCTGCCGGCGGCGCGCGCCAGGGACGGAAGTGGGTGGAAGCGGCGGCCGCGCAGCGCCTTTGTTACCGCTCCGGGACCTCGCGCGCCGCCCGCCGCGCCCCCTCGCAGCTGCCCGGTGACCCGCCGCCCCCTTCCCGCGGGCAGCCCCGGTCCCGCCGCCCGCGGCAGGAGCGCCTCGGGGCTGAGTCCAACTGACCGCATCGCCCGACCCGGAGACAGGCGCGCAGGGCGCGTCCTAGTCCCTCCGCCGGCCTCAGCCCACGCGGCCGCGCCCGACCCTCGGCCCCCGCGCGACGGGCACGCCCACCTCCCCGCGCCTTCCCACCTCCGCGTGCCAGAGCCGCCACTTCCCGCCGCGCGCGCTCGGCCGCCGGGACTCGTCGCCACCGCCCCGCCCCACCCCTTCCCGCAGCGCGGGGATCCGGCCCTCGCGCAGATTCTCGCCGCTCCTCACCTGGAGGCGCCCATAAGTCCCCTCCCTCCGCCGGCCGCGCGGCGCCCCGGAGCCGGCGCCCTCTGCCGGGCCACCAGGGGGGCACCGTCCCGCCTGCGCGCAGCCGGCAGAGGGCGGGGGCCCCGCGGGTCACCGCCTTCCCTAGCGAGGGCCAGCGCAGAGACGTTCCGGACAGACTCCCGGGAGGACGACACCAGAGCTGTCCCCGCGCCCCAGGACAGGAACACGCCCCGAGTCGCCCCACTAAAGGGCCAGCCGGTCCCCGAGTGTCCCACCCCAGGACACTGTAAGCAGTCGGCATAAGCACGTCCTGTTTTAAAACACTGGAAAAGCAGTTTTTGGTGTGTTTGAAATGAAGTTTGTGTCCCGTGTCTCCGTAGCTCTCCCCAGCCCGAATTAAAGGGTCACAAGGGAGGGCGGTGGCCTGACACGCCCCCAGGTCCCAGGGCCAGGAAGGGGCTTGGGGCGAGCTCCTGGGCGCAGTCGCAGCCCGGGGGCTGAGCCGGGAGGCCGGGCCGGCGTGGCGCTCACCGGCGGGCAGAGGCTGCCACTAATGGCTCGCTCTCGCCGAGCAGCACTGCGGCCGTCAGCCTCTTGGCCTCCCCGGGTCCTGGAGAAACTCCGGAGGGGCCAGGAGGAGGGCAGAGGAGAGCCCCACGCGATGGCCGCCGCGCGCGTTCCCACGCGCCCCACCTGCGCGGCCCCACTCACCTTCCCGCGCGCTCCCGCCGAGCCCACCTGCCGTTCCCGCGGCCGCGACGGCGCGGGCCGGAGCGCACCCTCGCGCGGGACCTCGGCGGGCAGGCACCGTCCCTCTCTCAGGCCGGCTTTCGGGTGGGGGCCCGGCGTGTCGTCGGCTCGGCCCCCAGTCGCCGAGCTGCCGGAGCAGAGCTGGTGGCGGAGCGGGCGCGCCTTCCCCGAGAGCCGGCGCGCGAGTCCCGGGGAGGGCGGGCGCCGGGTATTAATTGCAGGCCCCGGGTGTCTGCCGCCGCGCGCTCTGAGTGGCTCGGACGGCGGGCCAGGCCTGCGGGGCACCGCGGCCCACCCCCTCGGCGCGCTCCCGGCCGGGCCGGGCCCGGGAACGCGCGCACGCGCACGCGCCTGGCGGCCAGGGGCTGGGAGCTGTCGCCGGCTCCCGCGCGCCACCGCCGGCCGCTGTCCGGAGCCGGGAGGGCGCTGCTCGCCTTCCAGCCCGAGCGGCCTCTGGGCGGGCCCAGACGTTCTGGAACGGAGCAGGGCGACCTGCGCCAAAGCTGTGGCCGGGAGGCTCCAGGCCAGTTGCCAGGGAGACCGGCCTTCCGGGCCAGTTGCACGTGTGAAAAGGCCACATCCCTCCACAACCACCTGTCTCGACGAGCCCATGCCCTACAGCTACATCAGAATCCCCCAAATATTGTGAAAATATGATTATTGACCCTTTTCCCACTCACCCACTCTAGTGTCCGATTCTGTAAGTTTTCCTTGGGGCCGGACAATTTGCATTCCTAGCAGATGTGCAGGTGAGGGCCACGCTGCAGGCCTGAGGAGATGGGTAAGGCTTGTGAAAGTACTTGGTACACGCAGACCAGGAGATAAATTTAAACGTGTAAAGTATGTGGCTTGTCTGTTTCTGTAGGTGTGTTCACATGCAACTTCCCTCCAACTGCTTTTCCTCCGGGCGTCAAGCTGCTCCGCGTTTCCTCGCCCACAGGCACCGCCTCTCGGAGACCAGTGCCCGTCAGGAAAAGAGAAACGCGAGTGCATTCGTTCGCCAGGTCTGCCATAACAAACGACCAAAGACTGGGGCCTTCGACAGCAGAAGCGTGCTTTCTCTCGCTGCTGGAGCCTGGGAGTTTGTTCTGGAGATCGAGGTGTGGCGGGTGGTTTCTTCTGGGCCTCCTGCCTTTGCTTGCAGGTGGCTGTCCTTTCCCTGCGTCGTCAGGCGACCTTCCTTCTCTGTGTGTCAGCATCCCAATCTCCTTTTCTGAGGACACCAGGCCTATTGGATTAGGGCCACCCTAACGACCACATTTTAACTTAATCACCTCTTTAAAGATCCTATTTCCAAATACAGTCACATGCTGAGGTACTGGGGGCTTAGGAATTCAACATATGAACTTGGGGGGAGACACAATTCAGCCCACAACTGTGAGCTTCCCTGCTCCGAAGAGACTGGAAGAGCAATTGAGTTTCTGCCCCTAGTCTCCATCCCAGCCCAGCCCTGCACTGTAGGCTGAGCTGCGGGCTCCCACGAGGCTTCCAAAGCAGGGGCTGCGGGGAAACATACATCCAGGGCTCTTCCTCCTCCTGCCCTCCAAGGGATGCTGACGGCCTTCACAGCCAGGTAGGCGGGAAGGAAGCCGGGTGAAGGCTGCTGTGCCACCACACACTAACCAGGGCGTCTGGAAACTGATCTTCAGCAAATCAGTAATCTCCCTTCGTGTGCGGCCCTCCTGGGGTCTACTCCCCAACCCCTGCCCTGGTCCTGCTCCACATCTTCCCCTTGTGGCTTCATCCCTCCCTTGACTCCTGACACAGCCAGGCCCTTCCCCGGCCCTGGTCCAAGCAGCTATTGGGTCCACCCCAAACTTCGTGCATACGTGTGTCCATAATTGAACTCATCCCCCGATTTTGTCCCCCCTTGCATTCCGCATCTGAGTAGATGGCACAAACGCCACCCTGGTCAAGTCTGCTGGATGGACACCTGGGCACCAGAGAGACATGACCCTCTGCCTCACTCTTCTTATGTCACCAGCTTCAGTCCACCTGCTGGTGGGACCCTAATGCCTCCCAGAGGCCTCCCTCTCCCCGACTCCCACCACCTCTGCCTCGGGCCAGGCCTTTGTACTGTTTCTCCTCCGGCCCCTGACTGACCCCTGCTCTAGCCTGGCCCCTCAGCCAGTGTCCCCCACACTGCAACTTCAGTGATCTTTCCAAAGCTGCTGCCCTTCTTAACACCTCTCAATGGCTGTCCTGAGTGCTTCAGGAAAACTATAGGAACTATATGCTGCATTAAACCATGAGCTCCTAACAAGGACCCTATTCAGTTTTGTAAGTTTTAAGATTGAACTTGATGCTCCAAAAAATTTATCTATTTGTGTGTGTGTGTATGTGTGTGTGTGTGTGTGTGTGTGTGTGTGCGCGCGCATGTTTGCTTTGATGAATAAATTCTTAGAAATTCAGATGATCAGGTCAAATTTAGCATTTGTTTGCAAATGCCTTATTTGGAGCAATCTTCACTTTTTTGATAATACTTTATGAACATTCTCCCTTAAGTCACCTCCTGGTTACACTATGGATTCATCCTTTAGAATCTCTAATTAGCTTCTACAGATCCTAAATATTCAGGGTTCCTTAGATAGAGTTTTTCAAACTCTGATCCTGAAATCAATTTTGTGGGTAAAGACCAGTTTTTTAATTTTTTGTTTTTTGATGAAACAAAATTAGAAGTAAAAAGACTAAAGTGCATCCTAAATATTAGCAAGTATTGTTTTCATGCAACTTTTGTTTCAGTTCATGATCTTTATAAGGCGTGTGTGTGTGTGTGTATGCGTGTGTGTGTGTGTGTGTGTGTGTGTGTGTGTGTACAGGTTTCTGTGTCCTCAAGTGTATTTCTTCCAGTGGGTCATGGTTCAAAGATTGGAGCCACAACTGCCTTAGGTAGTGCTGAAGCTGTGCTCACTGGAGAACACATATTTACAGAGATACTGGGAAGGGGGGCAGATAGCAAAGAACATTTTCTGGAAAGAGATCCTCTGGGCCAGGCTTTTCATCAAGGAGTTGGCAGAGTTAAACACAGTGCTCCATCTGTAAACAGTAGGTGCCATGTAAGACTTTTATGGCCTAGAGGTGGTAAACATGATGCAAGATAGACAGGGGAACTCCCCTCCCCTGGAGTCTCTTAGGGAGCAAGAAGAAATGATGTCAGAGATACGGAAGGGAAGAGGGGCCTGGTTTGCTGCCAGACACAGCTGCTGTTCCCTGAGGTTCCCATTCGGAAGGAGGAGGTATAGGGACATGGGGTTTTCTAACCCAGTTTCTATCACGAATATTCCTAGATTAAAGTATATTATTAAGCTAACCTTTGCTGAAATAAGAGTACTGTTTTCTCTGTGTTCAAGTTGGGGCTGTGAGAAGCCCAGAGTGATCTGAAGATCTCAAAACAATGTGTTTAGCTGAGAGGCTGAGCTTTCTTATCTCTGATAGTCCCTACTCGGGAAGGCCTATTGAGAGGGGCAGAAACCAGATAAGATTGTGCAACAAAGGAGATCAACAAGCAGCCCTTAGAAAACTCTAACCTTGACAGTTATGCCAAGTATTCCCATCCATATTAAATGTTTTTAACCAAGGAGCCTAGATCCAGCCCACCGATATTTAGAAGGCAATGCTCTCACTCCCTAGTCTAAAACTTAGAATCTGTAAAAGAAGGTTGCCATGTAAATTAAAAAAATATATTATTGCTACTATTTCTTTTTTCATTGCTTGAGTTATTATGGTCTGGGCAGATTAAAAGAACTGAAACTTGGACCAGGGTGAGTTTTTAATCTCATGGATGAGATTTTTTAAAAAAATAACATGAATGGGGTGGACAAGAGGCAGCCAAAATTAGAAAAGAAATTCTAAAAGACAACTTCCCTATTCTAATTTTAAATAGAAATACACTTGACCATGAATATTATTTTAGAATTATATTTTAGATTTGGAAGATTGACAAAATCTGAAAGAAATCAAACTGTGGCAAGCTTGAGTTTTAACAAAACTTTAAAATGGGTTCCAGATTCTTCTTGAGATTTTGGGGGAAAAAAACCCAGGATAAATTGGCAAAAAAAAGTTGTTTTGAAAAATTCCTGGAGGCTGAAATATTCTTTGATATTATTTATAACACTGGCCATGTCTCAACCATTGAAACTAAATTAGATGAGTGTCAGTTGAGTATTTTTTTCCTAAATACAAACAAGATTCTTTGGCTATTGCTGTGGTTTGAATATGGTTTGTTCCCACCAAAACTCATGTTGAGATTTGATCCCCAGTGTGGTAGTGTTGGGAGGTGGGGCCTACTGGGAGGTGTTTGGGTCAGAAGAGTGCATCCCTCATGAATAAATTATGTCCTCCTGTGGGAGTGAGTGATTCTCTCTCTCATGGGGATGGATTAGTTCCAATAAGAGCCAGTTGTTAGAGTCTAGCTTCCTCAGTTTCTCTCCCTTGCTTCCTTTCTCACCATATGATCCCTTTGCCTGTGCCTTCCCCTCTCCCACCTTCTGTTATGAGTGGAAATAGCCTGAGCCCCTCACCAGATGCAGCTGTCCAATCTTGGACTTTACAGCCACCAGAATCATAAGCCAAATAAACATCTCTTCTTTATATATTGGCCAGTCTCAGATATTCTGTTATAGCAACACAAAATTAACTAAGACAGCTATATTTCATCTTCCACTCCTTGCCCTGCCTAATTTTATAATCAATAAACTTTTCTTTAATACCTTGACAACTTACAGTAGTTTGGTTATCAAGATGTATATATAACCAAATGTTTTAATAAAAATTAAAAATATAGATAGAGCAGAACTAATTTATAAAAAGTCACTGATCTCCGTCAAAGTAGCTGGTACAGGAGACCATGCAGTCATTTCCTTCACACTGCTGCCTCTTTTGGCACTGCCAACTTTTTTCTGGTTACGGAAACTGATAACAAACTTCATCCTCTGAGGAAAGTGGCTGAATGTGGATCAGAGTCTACTGAATTGGGGAACCATACCATTTTTGGTCAGTGTCATAAATAGTGTTTTTTAAAAAACAGTGTCACAAAAAGCATGCCCAAGTCACAGAAGGCTCTTTCAGACCTGCATAGTAAGAGATGGCCAAAGAGCCTATGAAAAGGGATTTAGGCACTGGATCCATAATGTACAGGATTCATCATGAAGCAGCCTTCCCTTGCACCTGGACTTGGCTTCTGCCTACTCTGCCTCGACTGCCACATCCTCCTTCCTGGCTCCCGTTGTTCAGCACCACAGTGTATCTGCTTCTCCATCCTCTGAGGTC